GGTACGAAGAACAGGCCCCTGGTAATGAACTGATCATGTGATTCAGGTGTGTTGACCCAGGGTCAGATCTAAAACCTGCAGGGACACCGGCCCTCGTGGACTGGGATTGGGGACCCCTGATATAGAGGTTTAGTCATGTGAGCATCTAAGACACCAAAAGTGATGAAAACCAAAGAATTATAATAATAAGACATTTTTAAAACAATTCAGTACCAGGTTTTCCATAATTTTCTCACATGATTCAGTAAAAATGAAATTTGACCTAAAAGCCATTCTAAGCTGTGGAATAGAAATGCTATTTGACCATATGGAGTCAAGGCTAAGTTTCAGCTAATTAAAAAGGTCTACAGCCAAAATGCTCCCAAAATAAATAAAGAAACAAAATTTACTAAACTTCAAATCACTGAATCTAAAAAGCTGACGCTTAAAATTGTTGCTTGGCTCTAGTGTTAATGAACCTCTACTGCATCAAAATGTCTTTACTGAAAATAACTAAAATACATTTTGACCCCTGGAATTATTTTCAGACGGCCACCGTTCTTAATCCATTCTGGTGAAACTGCGCTCGCATGAATGAGAAATGTAAAATATATGAAATTCAACTATGAACTATGAAAGTTCAAATTTAATGACATTATCTCTATTTGATCTCGTGACTTTTACTCTGATTTCACATCTGATCTTCCTAGAGTAGCAAATACTTTGTAATGCTGTAAATTAAACGTACATATTTTTGAAGCATATGATAAAAAAAATCCCACTTTATTTTTTCATTGTCTTTTACACTATCAATTATTTTACACATTATTTTAAACTGCTGTCAGTGAAATGAATACAACCTTTGCATTTCATTTATTGGTGCCCTACTCTGTTAAATAATTTAACAGGTTTGATTGTGGAGACATCCACAGATAGATATGTAGCCCAGTGAATTGATATGTTTTCTAATATCCTCTCTTTATAGATTTTTTGTCCTTATTTTTAAAACATTATTATATAAAGCAACCATTGACGATTGAGAAAGCATAAGATTACTATTTATGATGAAAATTCAACTCAGCAATTTACATAGATGTCCAATACAAATAGATCAATCAATATCTTAGACACGGCACCCAATCAGCTATTTCAGTTTTCACATCAAAACCCGGAAGAAATAACAAAATTTAATCTCTGAAGCAGATTTCTTCTGAAATACTGTCAGGTGGTGTTATTGTAATGCACTGCGATAAGCAGCAGGTTTATCTGACACAAACCTGTATCAAACACATGAAGTTTGGAGTCAGAGACAGGTGCAGCTCCTATTTCCCCACCAGAGAACACAAAAAGCCTGTCTCCAAGGCAGGCTGAGGTGGTGTGGTATGTCCTGGGACTCGCGGGTGTCCCATTTGTTTCTACAGTATTCCAGCGAGGGTTACTGTCTAGACACACACAGAATGGAAAAGATTTGTGGGTATTCAATATATCGTGTAATCTATTTATATGATCATGTATGGTTACAGACTACAAGTTTTCAAGGTTTTCACAGTCATGGTTTCACAGGTCAACGAGAAATCTGAGTGAAACCTTTCTCATCTGTGAAAATCCATCAGATTACTAGGTTAGGTTAAAATAGGATTTACCTGCCACCTGTACATTTTGGATACAGTTGCGATTTCCAGTCTGCTGCGCACCCCCAAACACCCACAGGCTCTGGGGGCAGCTCTCTGGTACAAAACTGCAGTGTTCATACCTTGCCTCCAAACCCTCCCACTCAGCAATGTCCCAGCCATGATTGTCTGGTCCATACAAAAACAAAAATGCAAAGAAAGTTATATAATATCAGTCTGATGGCTGATGATAACTTTAGCTTCTTGTCATAATTAAAAAAGACGTCCCATTAAAGCCTGTAAAACACAAGCCTGATAACTATATTATAAAATACAGAGGTATACTGAGGTCATAATACTGTAAAAGCTGGCTCTGGATATATATATATGTATATATTCAGAGCTAGCTTTTACAGTATATATATATATATATATTATTTTTTTTTACCTAGATTTATGATGTGCGAATCTGAGAAACTGCCACTGGGATTGGCTCCTCCAATAATAAGGAGTCTCCCTTTTCCTCCATCTTCAGATGGAGTGAATATACAGGTGTGACCAACACTAACACCTGGAGCACTTCCCCTGGGTCTCAAAGAATACCTATTAGCAACAGAACAATTTTGACCAGAGGCTACATCCAATGTTATACTCTTTTTAAAATCACAAGTGCACTTAAAGTACTTCAACTCACTAACCATATTCCTTCTTCGGGTTTATGTTGAGGATCAAGGACTGGGAGAAACTCCATGTCTGTCAGAGATACATTAATATAAAGATTGTTTCCTCGTATTTTGTCTCCTCAGTGATGATGCTACAATCAAAGTTATAAGATACGAATAATACACGACGAGCTGGGATTAAAAATAATGACTAACACTGACTGACTGTACTTGAGAGCCTCTGAAAAAGCATACATACCTACATTTTCTTACGAAATGTATCCACAATGTAAGCAATCCAAACAGGTCCCTTTTTATTGTTCTAAACACTTAGAGAAGAACTTCTTGTAAGCGACTGAGTTGGAAACACAATCAGCGTCCTCAGTCCGCATTTTGAGCACGAGAAGAGCTTCCTCTCCGCTAACCTGTCCTTCCGGGTGAAAAGAGGAGACTACCGTGGCTTTCCGTATATATTACGTGAAGTAATTTCCTCCTTGGTCCCACTTTGTAGCGCACATACGTGAATTATGTTAATAAAGTTAAATAAAAAACTCGTAATTAGTTAACGTAAATACTTAACTACTAGCCAGAATGGGGCTCTACGTTGAAGTCTGTACGCATTTGTTTTACGTAGGTTACGTTATGTCATGCCTTCGTTCCAAACGTGGTTGCCATGGGATTGCCGAGGCGCATGCTCAGTTTACCAATCTCAATTAGCTACTCCTAAGTGCATATTTTATCATACCTAAAACATTAATGTTAATTCCTGGCATGGTTAACGTAGAAAAATGATTTTAAATACAAACTGCAAATTGTTTATTTATTTATTTATTTATTTATTTATTTATTTATTTATTTATTTATTTAACCCAAAGAGTTCTACTTCTCACTTCAAGCAAATAAGGTAGGCAGGCTATTGCTAAGAGCATTTTCAAACTTAAATACAAGTAAAAGCATAAAATGTTTAATGGTATATTTGACATAGTAATGTGGCTGTGCAAATATTCTCAGGATACCAATATGTCTTATCTGGCTGGAACATAAAAGGTCCATCTCACTTTCTATAAAGTCTAGGCATAGAGCTACTGGGAGTCATAGTAGCGTTTTTTTTTTAACAATTATTATTAATTATTCTTAAATAATTTCCTCCTATACGTTTAGTTTTACATCAACTTCACGAACACGGAATTGCTACATCATCCGATTTTTTCACTCAAAACTACGCTGTTTAAAAGGTCCAGTGTTGCTGAGTGTCGGGTATCCAGTAAATAATTCATCATTAAGGTTAATCTTAAGTTGTTTTTTTGTTTTTTTTGCCTGTCCCGTTTGACTCTTTTGCCATCAGAATTGTTGTCTAAAGGCAAAGAAAGATGCCCAACGGATTTACTTTACCAAATTGACCATCCCAGCCTTGCCGTAATGGTCCATTTGATTCACCTTTTATTGTTTATTTTATTTTCACTTACTGAATACGGGACAGACTTGACTGGGGGAAAGAAGGGGAGAGAGAAAGAGGGAAAGAGAAACAGCTGAGAAGAGGGACGGGGGAGAAGGGCAAAAAACAAAAACCAACAGAATGAGCAGAAAAAAAAAGAAAAAAAAAGAAATAAAAAATGCATATATCAATCACCTGGATCACCTGCTGAGAAAGAAAAAAGAAAAAAAACAGAAGAGAACAAGAGTAATAGAATAAACAACATCACAATGATATATGGGAATATGACAGTAAATACTAAATATTAAACATTATTGTGCAGCACATAAGATCAACAGAACACAGTGTGCTTTGAGGTAGGAGCCAAAAATGGTGTAGTTTGTGGGTGTGATCACCCGTGTGTACACCTGTGAGCATGGACGCGCTTGTTTTTTGTTTTTTTTTAAAAGGTTCCTTCATGTAATGATCTGCTAGAGGGTGTGGGGGGGCCACAGCCCCGTCCTCCAGGGCATGAAGCAGGTATGGAGGAGATCAAAACTCCAGACATCCAGAGGCCCCCAGAACACAAGAGACCAAGGAAGACCAACAGAGGGGCAGCCGCGCCACTGTCCCAGAAAGAGCTGAGGAGAGTCCCAGATGAGGGCTCACTCAGCAGCCGCGGAGCAGAAGCCAGGGGGGGTTGTAGTGACGCGCCCGTGAGCTCCGCCGGCAGCCAGCCGTGCCTGAGTGACCGAGCCCCAGGCCGAGAGGCCGAGGGCACCCCACCTCCGAAGTGGCCCGAGCGAGCCCCAGGCTCCAGGCCCCGATAAGCGGCCGCCAAGGAGTGAGCCGGTGTGTACCTGGACGCCCACCCCCGGACACAAAGAACCACCAACGCACCGATATCTGAGGGAGTCCGCCACTGGCAGGGGAAGTGGTGGTAGGGGGAGATAGGCCTCCAAACCTTGGAGGGCCTGAGATGTCCCCAGAGAAGTGGCGCCTGACACCCAACCTGACATATAGACACAGAAATACAGGCACACACAGATACAAACATCCATTCCCACCCTCATGCTCTCATATGCACTTACTCCACACTCAACCAACGTGGAGACAGACATAAAGAGACACTGTACACATGATCACACTCCCCAAGCGTACTCTACAAACCGGGTCTAGGTACCCTTACCCCTGGAGGGGGAACTGCACCCAGACCCAGGTGGTGTTACCCTTTTCCCTGCGGTGGGGGGAGGCAGACCGCCCCGACTCCGCAGCAGCAGGGAGGCCCCACACTCCAGACCGCAGTCGGACGGCCAACTCCTCCTCCTAGCCCCCCCGCTCCAGCAGGTCGCAGAGAACGGGGGTGAGAGAAGACTCCAAACCTCCCTCCACCCGCTCATTGTAGTGTTGTGTCACATTTTGTCGCCATCTGGTGGGAGATTACATTTACTGCAAAGCACTTGCTAAATGTGCTGCTGAAAGACAGAATTGTGGTTCTGTTGAATGGATCTTTAGAATAAAGTCAATAAGTCAGATATCTACAAACTGGAGCACTCCCAAACAGGAAGTCCTGAGGATGCAAAGCAGACCCTCACCCTTCCTCCAGTGAGACCAGACTGTACCACTGTAGTGCCTTTCTCACAACCCTGTTTCCGAAAAGCTCATTGTTATTTGGACATGAGTATGAACAAGAATAAGAAGATTAACTCTGTATACTGGCATTAACTGGCAATTCTGTCAGTCAAAGCAATAGTCGTGAAGGACAACCTCTTCCTGATGCCACTGCCTGTTTTTTCTTCATACCTGGGGGTATTGATCTTTTTTTGTATTTGCTGATTTTACTGTGTTTGAAACTTGAGATATGGATCTGTCTAAGAGGTTTTGGGGGAGTGAAACACAATTCTCCTGCAGTCATCTCTCCCACATGTGCAACTACCCAATTAAAGTCCTTATTCAATATTGGAGATGTTCAGCAATTAGAGCCACAAGTGTACCAGGAAACAACGAGAATTGTGTTATCTTGCGGTGTCAACTCCACTGAAAATCTCCAGTATTTAAATTGTTACGTAGGAGGTGAAGCAGTCAGAGCTGTTTGACGTTTTGCAAAGGATTTCACTGTCCTTCAAAATAAATGACTCTTTTGACAAATCATACAGGCATGTGATAGTGACTTTGGAGGCCAGTTCAAAGATCACTTCTCAATTGTTTCAGTTCACCTGATGGGACCTAGACAGAAAATGCAATTATGTTTTAGCAACCAGGTATTTTAAAACCTCAATAAAGAATTCTTGTTGGGATGGTACCTTAAAATTATAACTCTGGCTCTCCTGCATGACGCTGCAGTTCACAAACCAGTCTGAAGTCTTCACTATAATTGCTTTCCTCTTAATTTTAATGAGCTGACATATGTGCTTTTTTAAGAGTTTGAAAGAAAGTATCAAAAGGTAAAGATGGGCGATGCTCAAGTTTGGTATGACTGAGTGCATGTGAGTGAATGTGGATGTGTATGTGTAACAAGTCCCAGTGTTTATTTTTTATGGTTCTCATTTTGAGCACCAGTTTTAACTACAATTTGAAATTTCAGCAATGAATTTGATTTGACCTCTTTCACACAATTTTAACCTAAATTTAAGCTGCAGGATGCAGGATGTTTGGCCACTAATAGAAGATAAATATTGCATGATCCACTGAGTCTTGATTTCTACTGTAACATTCAGATGTTAAGGTCAGAATTTGGCATAAAGAACATGAAAGCATGGATCCATCCTGCCTTATATCAACAGTTCCGGCTGCTGCAATTGTGTTGGGGGATATACCAAGCACTATTTAAATACCATTGCTGTCATCCAGGTTCATCCCTCATGACCAAAGGCTGCTTCTAGGAGGTTAGCATGCTGTGTCACAGAGCTTAGATCATTTAATTGGTTCCTTGATCATGACAATGATGTACTCAAATGGCCTCCACAGTCACCAATCCAGAAAGAGATACAAAAAATTAAGGTAGCTCTGAAGGCAAATTGAGCCCAACACTAGCAAGGTGTACCTTATGAACTGGCCAGTGAATTTATATTACCATATCTGAATTAAGCAAACAATTAAGATAAAATGGGTGTATTTTCAGCATGGTAATATTTAACTTATTCTTTTTTTCTTTTCTTGTTTTTCCATCAGTGATGTTTCTTCTAGTATGTTCATATAGAGCAAAACATCCACAGTGCATTTCATATTTTGCTCAGTAGGTTGTGCTATTGCATTTTGTTTGCTCTAATGTTCCATGAATTCAGTGGGGACAGTATAAAAAGCAACAAAGATTCATGTTATTCCACACACATACTTTTGGACAACATTTCTAAATAGTTTAGAATAGATTAAGATAAATATAGTAAGAGTATTAAAAACATTTTCATATGCCTATATTGAGGTTTCTTTCAGTTAAAATCAATGTGAGTGAATTTTATTGTACTTGCCCTGACTTAGTTTGTAGTGTTACGGTTACAATAGAAGCCATGAGAAAAAGTTAAGATAATAGGTCCACTCTTGATACTTTCTTATTACCTTAATAACTGAATGAATGAATGAGCAGAAGTATGAACGCAAGAACATTCAAAAATCTAAAAGTAGAGACTCAAACGCTTGAAAGCTTTGGCATCTAAAACTCCTCAAACATATGTGTGCCCTATACAAAGACACATTAGTCGAACTTTTCTGAACATTTATCCCACACTTAGAAAGGGTACAGCAGATATTGTCATTCAGCGTAGCCTTTTTTTAATTCACTGAAAAAGGAAGGAAAGTCTTTTAAAAGGACTGCTTCTTTCAAGTTTAGGGACATAAT